GAAATGGCCAAACCCTCTCTAAAACTGTGCTGGTCGACCAGCTAAAACTATCCAGCCAGCCTAGGCTCCCCCTTTTTTTCTGACAGCATGTTTTCTTGAATCTAGGTTGACAAAATATTTAAATCTTTTTCCAACAGTCGGTTTACAAAAATACATTTGACTTTATACCAGACTGTGTTTTATAGATCCAATTTCATAGCTAAAACATTTCAGGCATGTCTAGTAGTCTCCCAATGTGGCTTTATTCTGTCACAACAAATGGGCCATAGAGCAACTGGGCCCATATGCTCCTCTGATCTGCTGATAGATGGAAATACTGCTAAAGAGACATCCCACACACCAGCCATTTGGATTCGTTACACTTCAGGACTGTATGCAATTCGGAGAGAACTATTATACATGCAATTTAGGATTTTAGCATTTTTAGAAAGAATATTACTGCTACATTTACTGCTATTTTTTTACGAGCCATTTTTTATTAGCCAATTTCTCAATGAAACTCCAATTATGATTTCAGTTAATTCAATAATGTAACTGCATCTTTTTATGATTTATAATCAATTAGATTATAATACAAAAATAGCCTGTGTTTTCAAAATAATAATCCTACATTTTTGTGTGTCTGTGTGTGTAAGGATATTTAAAGATTGAACACCTCTGCTGACATTAATGTTGTTGAATAGGTGATTTTTCATTAGCATCACGTTATTAAAATACAAGAGCAATCCTCTCTTGGCCTTTTTTCTGTACAGTGTCAGCCTTGTGAAGTGGAAGGGGGCTCGCTTCTCTCCATCTGTCTGTAATCTTTCACTCAATTCCATGTGGATGTGAGTGTGTTTGATGGCGCTCCACATTGGGACCATCTGTTTCTTTCTGCCCACCTCTGTGAGTGGAGGAGTGGGCTGAAATCCGGACATCATTCATTGCCCACTACCACTGTGGGTTTGTGTATGTGGGTGTGCTCGCATGTGCTCTCAAGTTGTGGCTTTTTTTGTATTCACGCAGGACAAATGTTTTCTCATACCACTCCACTTGTTTTCAAAAGCTTTTCATTGTAAATGTTAGATAAATTAACATGTTGTATTCATTTTTTGTTGACAGTTTTTGTGTCTTGTGTAGCTCAATTTATTAACATTAATGATTAATAATAGCAAGTTATTATTAATAATTAGAAATTTTCATAATAAACTTACAGGTAATTCAAGAAACAAATATAACAATGACTTTGCCTGCTCGTCTGAGCAGACTCTGTAATTATTTATTTATTCAGAAAGGGAATTACAACTACTTCTTGGGAAGTAGATGAATAGTTTAGAAGTTATAGTAAATTTAATGAGCTGGTTGCAAGGGTTTTTTTTACCGGTAAAGGGACCGTTTTTGTGAGGCAAATCAAAGACAATCCAACATGGTTATAGCGTGATTTATTGACTAGTCTAATATATAACGAACAAACGTACACAGCAAAACAACTAAAACACAGAAAAGAAAGAAAAGGTGGAAATAAAAGAGTTTAGATAAAAGAACGGCAAATCTAACTCAGTCCCACTCAACTATTAAGAACCACCAAGTATGTAAACACCTTAAAAAGGCACAGCATAAACGCATGACTAATACCTGTTTCTCTGGGTCTTTCCCTTAACTTTCTGTAAAGTCTTGTTGTTTGCATAAAGTTTGCTGCGCAGATCAGAAGATACGCATGGCGCAAACTTTAAACTAAGTTGTAATTTGCAGGAAAATAAGAAATGTGGACTCAGGCAAGTCACGAGGTACAGAAACGGGCCTTCCTTTGTGTCTGAGACCTTCTGCGAGGACTTGGGGGTGTAACAGGCATTTAAAGGTATTGGTCAGGTACAGTAACTCCTAGTCACTCCTGACTGACCAATGAACCAAATAAACTTTTTTTGGTTCTCTTCGCTGGTCTCAAGACAGACAGAGAGAACTTTAACTCATGGTTTGAAATTACATCAAGCATACAAGTTATCAACCTGTGTTCTAGATCATGAGCTATAGAGTTATGTATAGAGAAGAATGGCATTAAACAAGACACTTTTAGAAATACATAAAACATAATTCATGCATTCTTAGTTTGTCTCATGTCTTGAAAAAGGTATATATGGTAAATAAAGGCTATATTAGGGTAGAAAAAGGAGTTGTTGTTTTTTTAAATGTCTTTGAAGATGGGACAGCTCTACCTCTGGCCAGCATCTTGGTTGATAAGATGTCATCGAGTGTTTTTTACCCGCAGACTTGCTGGCACCAGGTGTCATAAACTTACGTAGAATGAACCCAGAACCTTTTAGGGATAACAATGGGATTTCACCTCCGCACTGTATGTTACATTTGTATTTGTCGTTATATACAGTTAAAGTCAAAATTATTATTCCTCCTTTTTTTCAATTATTTCCCAAATGATGTTTAATAGAGCAATCATTTTTTTCACAGTATTTCTTAAAGTTTTTTTTTCTTCTTCTAAACAAATAGCTAGAATATAAGCTGTTTTTATTTTTTAAACATTTCAAGGTCAATGTTATTAGCCTCTTTTAAGCAATATTTTTTTGGATTGTCTACAGAACAAACCACTGTTAAACAATGACTTGGCTAATTACCCTAACTTTAAGCTGAATACTAGTATCTTGAAAAATATCTAGTAAAATATTATGTACTCTGATCACGGTAAAGAGAAAACAAATCAGATATTAGAGATGAGGTATTAGAACTGTTATGTTTAGAAATGTGTTGGGAAAAATCTTCTTGCCTTTAAAAAGAATTTGGGGAACAAATATACAGGGGGGCTAATAATTCAGGGGGCTAATATTTTGCAGCATTGTCAGCAAAGCATAGCTTGATCTGACAGGATTATTGAGTAATCATCTGATCATGGTTATAAAATCTGTTATTTAAGAATGATCTGCAGTTATTGTTCAGTTTTGTTTATTTAACACAGGCTTAGACTACAGGAGTTTTAAAATCCTAATCGAAAATTAAATCTGGTTGCAGCACACACACGAGGATAGTCTTCTGCAAGTTTACTTCAAATCTTAAACATCCGCACACTACAAGATATGAAAGCGACAGCACCCACTACAACATATTATTAAGATTATCATCTCCGATTGAGTTCATGATTTTTTTATTTTACAACTATTTTGAAACTTGACCACCGCACATGTGTATGAACAGCTGACAGTGGCCATAGTAATGACAAACGGCAGGAGATCGCGACCTCACAAACTCGTTTAAATCCATAATGAACGTGGCATGCGTCGCGTTTTCAATGTGGTTTTAAACTTGATAGGAGAATATAAAGTGTTAACAGAAACACTACAAGCCACATAGAGCGGTTACAAATAACAAAACCCAATTAAATACATAATTTGCAAGTTAGAGAAAACAAAAAGGCAACCATTTTATTCGCTTTTACTTACACTTGTGAAATGGAGAAAGAAATTTGTCCATAACCTGTGTGATAACGTTCAGGCTCTGACAAAGTCTTAGTAACTAGTCCTATCTGATCTTTCTTTAACAAACGGCAAATGAATCCCCCATTGTAAGCATGCCGATTGCTATAGCACCCGTCAGAAAAATGACAGGAACACAGCCAAGGCTCGGGTTATAATGCTGAAGTATTTTTCAAAAAAAACTTCAACCACGGACTCTTCACAGCCTCAACTTTGGGTAGGGAAAATAACACTAACTTTTCCTCACATTTCAGAGCACAGTGTCTTCGCGACATGATTTAACAGGGATTAGCTACAGTGTTTGGTGTCTTTTTTTGCTACAGTGTTTGTGGTTAAAATTTTCTTGGGATTGCGTGCAAAACAATTGGGCAGGGCTTTAGTTCCGTATCAATGTCACACCGACACGGCTAATGATTCGAACCACTCTGAGGCGACTCTTTTATGGATTAATCAATAGTTTTAAACACGGTGCACTTTCAGATTTAAGGCTTAGCTGGATATTTCACTTCACTTAGAACTTAGTTACGCACTGCATGGAAAGTCATTGTCAAAAACCCATAAGGGCTCTTTACAGAAAACCATGGCCTTTTTCATTATGTTTCAATCAAACAGTCAATCAGTCTTAAAATTATTTTAGTTTATTTTTTTGGGTTGTTTTGGTTTCGTATTCTGTTTCGTATTCTGAGTCATTATGTTTCACTAAGTTTAAATGATAAAAAAAATGGATGCACAGAAATTTTGACAACCAAAAATATTCACTCACAAATAAATATGTACTTGGACAGAAGAGCTCATTGCGTTACTTAATCGCATTAGGGGTACTATTTTAAAAAAACACTCCTACAGTATGTATTTCAGAAAAGTGACAAACACCCTATAATACACACTTAAGAGAACCAACCTGTCTTCCAATCAATATGATATTGTGTTCTCTTTATTTGTTTATTCTTTGTCACACGTACAGTAGTCTTTTGCTTTACTAAAAAAAAAAATACTATAGAGAGAAGCATTTTAATAAATATATGCACTGTATCACATCTATTATTGTGTATATTGTCACTTGGCTTCATTATCAGATATGTTTCCCGGATATTATAATATATGTTGAATAATACTAAACCAAAACTTATGGTTTCCATTTTCTTATTGTATTTAAGGTGATTTTGGCTGCAGTTTTAACTTTTAAGTGTGTTTTTAGCTACTCCGTCCCAGAATCAACCAAACGCTTTGGAATGCACTATAGATTTCAGGAGAATAAAAATGCCTGTCATTTTTGGTATTTTTACAATCTTTTTTTTCAGAAACCAATAAGAGAAGAGATTTTATCACATCTAAATCTATTCATGATAAAAAACAATTCACAGATTCAGTCTAGAGACTCTAGCTCTTGGCATTTGCAGCTCTTACCCCAGATATTCAGCATTGTGAACTACTTTATCAGTTTATCACATGGCTCTTGAAGTCACATGGGCACTTCCATTCATTTCTCAAACAGTGTTTCTCCTTTTGTCTCTTCCCCCACCCCTTCCTCTCTCTGTCCAGATTATATGTTTGCAGGATTTCTTTGGAGATGATGACGTTTTCATCGCGTGCGGCCCTGAGAAGTACCGTTATGCACAGGATGATTTTGTGTTGGATCACAGTGGTAAGGCTTCCACAGCCTTTATAACCGGTAGGCTCAGCTAAACTAACTTCATTTCACTTCAGTGTCTCTCATACTAAACTCTAATGAAATGTTTTCTTCACTACAGCATGCACTGTAAACCAGCACATATATAGAAATATGTTAAATGTAGTCAAATTTTAGAACCAAAACATAGAATTTAATTCATGAATAAATAAATTATTTGAAGTGCCTCATACGTTATTTTACCATATCTCAGCTGCTCTTTTTTCAAATTTAGATTGTTGTTAAATAAATGTGGCAAGTACACTATATTGGCTAAAGTTTTGGGACATCTGCCTCTACAGGCACAGAAACTTTAATAACATCCCAATCTTAATCCTTAGGCTTTAATATGGAGTTGGCTCACCCTCTGCGGCTATAGCTTCAGATTTTCTGGGAAGGCTTTCTACAAGGTTTAGAGTGTGTTTATGGGACATTTTGACCATTCTTTTAGAAGCGCATTTGTGAGGTCAGGCACTGATGATGGAAGAGAAAGTATGGCTCACAGTCTCTTCTTTAATTTATTCCAAAGTTCTTTTATTGGGTTGAGGTCAGGACTCTGAGCAGGCCATGTTTTTCCACAGGACCTTGCTTACACATGTTTTTATGGACATTTCTTTGTGCACTGATATTAATCCCCAAACTGTTCTCACAAAGCAGGAGCATGAAAATGTCCAAAATGTATTGGTATGCTGAAGCATTAAGAGCTCCTTTTTTACTGGAACTTAGTGGTCATGCATAACCGTTGAAAAATAACCCCCATCATAATCCCCCTCCACTAAACTTTACACTTAGCTCAGTCAAGGCAGGCAAGTAGCATTCGTCTGGAAAACACTAATCACAGACTTGTTCCGTCTCAGTGTGCACCGTCTCCGCCCTGATTTTACATGGCCTATAAACTCTGTGGCAGAGTTGCTTTTTTTCAAAATGGCTCTCACTTTGATTTAATACCATTAATAATTATTATTAGGTAAATTGCCATCTTATATTAGTAACCTTTTATAATATTATACTTGTAGTTATAGTACACAAAATTCTCATAAATTACATTTAACTGTTTCTAGAGTGTGTACGGAGTTTGGTAAAACAGTGTTTTTCTCCTTTGGCCCTACATGATGGAATGAAATGTGGCGTGTTATAATGTTAACAATTCCATCTGTTATTCTTTTTTAAAATTGTTTTAAGTCTTTCCTGGAAGAATCATGTAAATGCTTTGTGCAAGTTTTAATTTGTGATATTTTATGTATTTGTATCTGAAACTTTTTGTACTGCTATTTTGGCCAGGACCCCCTGGTAAAAGAGATGCATAACTCCATGGGAAATTCCTGGTAAAATAAAGTATACATAAAAGTTGACCTTGGAATTTTTAGTAGTTTGGAAATTTCACAAATGCACAGGTCGCAACCAGTCATGTTACCATTATGGATGTATCGATGACAGATTTTGGTTGGTTTTGTCTAATCATGGTTTCTCAGTTATCACAATTATTATGCATTCATTAATTTTAAAACACTACTAGTTTAGAAAAGCACATGTTATTTTTTTGCTGCTCAGTAACCACTACAGTACAAAGAAACAATAGTTCATTTCCCTTTGGACTTAAATATAAATAAATAAATAAATAAATAAATGAATAAATAAATAAGATTACATATATATATATATATATATATATATATATATATATATATATATATATATATATATATATATATATATATATATATATATATATATATATATTTGTAATGTAAATCTAAGCTACATATTTGCTATGTATTTCCCTTCTAAAAAGAACAAATGTAGTCAAAGGCTGTTGAACCTTTTGTCTGTATTGCACTTTTGATCTACTTTATCATAGTAGCTATAGTTAATGCAGTATGTGTGCGTATTAGCCTTGTGTACAAGCTCGTAACTCTAAACTAGCACAGAGTTTGCATAACTTTGCAGCCGTTTTGTTCCGTGCAGAAACGGTGTTGAAAGGCCTTTATGATTAATTAACCATGGCGAATTAAGGCACAGTTAATAGTGAAATTGGTTAATCGTTACATCCCTGGTTACCATGCTCAAATTCACTGAGCTTTTGAGAGTGACCCATGCATTCACTAGTTTGTAAAAGCAGTCTGCATGCCTGGTGATTGATTTAATACACCTGTGGTAATGGAAATTATTAGAACACTTCAATTCAATGATTTGGAGGGATGTCTTAATTTTTGTTTGGCAATGTAGTGAATGTTATTAAATATACAATTTTCTATGAATTAAATTACATATTAAAAAGTTGTAGTACATTTAATTATAACTAGAAAAGTAAAGTTCATAGACAAACTTTATTATGGCTTGAGAAAGTCTAGTCTGAAGATTAGAAGTAGGTTTAAAGTTTAAATAATTTAAGTAGTTTTTAAGAAGTTTGAAACGGTTATATCTTTACATAGGGTTGCATGTTTCTAGTATGCATTGGCATGTTTCTTGCTTTTCAGGTGATAGGGGGTTCTAATTGGTTGCTGAGGTGTTGCCAAGTGGTTGCTAAGGTGTCCTGATTGGTTGCTAAGGTGTTGCTATGGTGTTTTGACTGGTTGTTAAAGCGTTGTTAGGTGGTTGCTAAGGTGTTCTGAGTGGTTGCTAGGCGGTTGCTTAAGTGTTGCTACAGGGTTGCTAGGGTGTTTTAAGTAATTGCTAATGTTTTGCTAGGTGGTTGCTAGGATGTTCTAGTTGGTTCCTAAGGTGTTGCTAGGTGGTTGCTAGGGTGTTCTATGGTTGTTGGGCGGTTGCTAAGGTGTTCTGAGTGGTTGCTATGGCATTGCTAGGTGGTTGCTAAGGTGTTGCCAGGTGTTTGCTAAGTTGTTGCAAGGTGGTTGCTGTGGTGTTGCTAGGTGGTTTCTAAACAGTTGCTAAGGTATATTGATTGGTTGCTATGGTTTTTTGAGTGGTGCTAAGTTGTTGCTCAGTGGTTGATAAGGTGTTCTAGTTTGTTGATACGGTATTGCTAGGTGGTTGCTAGGGTGTTCTGATTGGTTGCTAGGCGGTTCCTAAGGTGTTGCTAGGTAGGTAAAGCTACGCATCGATGAATTTGCTCTTCAGTGACTCTCAGTAGTGATTTTTAAACCACACTGAACTGAGCTTAACTGAACTGAAATTAAACACTAAAAAAACTGAACTACACTATTCCAATTTACTACAACCTTTTATGTGAAGCTGCTTTGACACAATCTACATTGGAAAAGCGCTTTATAAACAAAGGTGAATTGAATCGAATTGAATAGTTGCTAAAAAAGTAAAAACATGTTGTTAGCATGGTTCTAGTATGAATAAGCATGTTGCTAGCATGTTTTTTTAATATTAACTAGCATGTTGTTAGCATGATTTAGCATGTTGCTAGTATGTTTAGTATGAATTAGCATGTTGTTAGGATGGTTCTAGTATGAATTAGCATGTTGCTAGTATGATTTGTATGTTTGTTAGTATGTTTTTAGTATACATTGGTATGTCTTTAGTATGGATTAGTATGTTTGTAATATAAAGTCAATGGTAGGTTTTTTTTTACAATGGAAGTTTATGGTACAGTTGCTACGGTGCCATAAGTGGTTGCAAGGTTGTGGCTAGTAAATTGAAACATCATCAGTTATTGGCAGATTAGTAATCTGAGTTAAATGAACTCAACCTTAAGTCTGCATGACAGTCTGGCGGAAATATGAGGTCACAAATTTGGTTCAATGTTATGTCAATGGGACTTTTCTGAATTTTCCAGATCAGTTTTCGGAAAACCGTTAGTCAGATCAGTTGGAAAAGATATAGCAACTTAACTCAGTATAGTTTGGAGGTTTGGAGCTGGTTTGGTGGATGTAGTATGAACGGTCTAGGAGGAGATTTCTTAATTTTTTTTAAATTGTCGAAGAAGAAAATTTAGTTTATGTAGTATAACAGTATGTTGGCTTTCACAAGCCCCCAGTTATTGTTATCAGTGTGTCTGACACCTGCACAAAAACAGAACAAAACAGAATGTCTCCTACAGTAAAATAATAGGATTACACCAGTACCATTTTCATAATGAAATGATTCATTCACATTCATTCATACTCTGGCTTGGAAAAATGAATCCATTTTCCAGAATGAACATCAGAAACCAAGCAGGATTACAGTGTCAGAGGAAGTGACCTTATTATGAGAACTTCCTCTCTATTGTTCAGTCTATTTTTTTGAACATGATGAACTGAAGATCTAAATGAAATCATTCAATACTTTTCATCTTGTTTTGCTGAAACGCCTCCAGTTCTTGTAGCATTTACAACACACACACACACACCGTGATAACTTGATTCATAGCGGTGTAAATTTAGTTCATCTGCTTGGCATTTTGTCCTAGTTCTACTCCGCTGCCCCACTTAGCCTAAGTAGGACTTTTCCAAAAATATAAAGAAACAGTAAGTTTGTGTCTGCCTGTATTTAACGCTCAACCTTTTCCTTCCGCAGCAGAAGCGAAGTGTCCCTAAAACGCAAACCCACCACAAATCCAAATCTTCTGTAACTAAAGAACTCATTACACGTTGTCTCTCAGATTCTTCTGTGCCAAATGCTTAAATTAAGCCCCATGAAACAGATTAGCTGGGCATTAATGGCATTTTATAATGGCATTTGGCTTGTTTTATCTCCACCACTCCACGATCCAGCACTCATCAGCTAATTTATCACTATCCGCGTCATTAGCAAGTGCCATGTAATCGACAGGACAGATCGGGCCCAGTCGCTGCTGTTGAGGATGAATCATCCCTTACTAAAGTTCTGCACCCACTGCTCTCATTAGAAAGATGGCCTGCTCTCATAGGGCTTCAATAGCCTGTGTGATTACGCCTCTGCGCAAAGGCTGGCACATGCAAAGCTGGATTGTGTAATTGTGCAGTTTTTCACTCATTTACTAAAAAGGATCTATAAATTTGCCCTAATATGAACATATTATGTACATGCTTTGATGTAGATATGTG